TCGCTGGTAATATTTTTTTCCAAATATATATAGCTGGTAATAATGTATATCTGGTAATAATGTATTACTGGTAATAATAATTGATGGTAATATTTTTTTTACAAAGTATTTCTGTTATTAAAACCTATTGTTGCATTTTCTAGTAAGTATTGTTAATAATGTCTTCAAAAATGTATTTCTGCTAATATTTTTTTTCAAAAATCTATTGCAGGTTTCCAAATATGTATTGTTAATATTTTGTTTGTAATAATTTCCCGTTAAAATGTATTGCTGGCAATAATTCTTCCTTTACAAAAACATTACTAGGAATAATATTTCCTACAAAAATGTATTGCTTGTAATAATTTTTCCTACAAAATTGTATCTGCGATAATAATTTTTCCTTCAAAATTATATTGTTGGTAATAACTATCTTCAAAAATGTATTTTGGTAATAATTTTTTCCTCAATGTATTGCTGTTAACAATTTTTCCCCTCAAGAAAAGTATTTCTTGTATTAATAGCTATTTTACACCTCCGCAGTGTTTTGACCATTATTTGAGGGTTAACTATTTACCCAGAGCTGGTACCTTAACAGGTGCTACCACCCCCGGGCAAAGGGCGAACCTGGGAAGACCAGCAATTAAGAGGTGGTTCCATGGTCCTCAAAACCTCATGATTAGAGGCTTTGCTGTTGGTGGACGTAGTTTATCGTCTTACCCGGGATGTATGATGATCATGATGATGACTATTATAATAATTAGAATTGTGATGATGATTGCAATGATCATGATGAGTATGATGATTAGTATGATTAGTATTAGGATCATAATGGTGATTATTATTATTATTATTATTATTATTATTATTATTATTATTATTATTTCCTTTGATTTCTGGTCTGTACACATTTTGTTCCGGGTCCCACCCAGAGACCTAAGGTTAAAAATGGCATCATTACAATTTCCCCTCGTAAGGTGTGGGCGGTACTCATGAGAACATTTTTTTGTATTTCTTTAAGGCATGGGCTTCCAGGGATCCCTTCAATGAGTCTACTGGAATCTTTTCCAACCAATCCGAGGACTCCAACTACAACAAGTATTGTTGATGCTCCCATGCGCAACATTTTTGAGATTTCTATTTCAAGGTCCTTGGATTTGACAGTTTTTTGAATATGTTCAAAGATACATTGCAGTCCGAAGGGACTGCCATATCAATAAGGAGGCACTTTTTTTGTTTGTGGTCTTTAATAACAATGTCTGGGCGGTTAGATTTGATTCTTCTGTCTGTGTGCATTGTGTCGTCCCATAAAATTATATCAGGTCCTATCTACGTAAACGGGTCTGGGTGGTGTTGATAAAACTTTCTGTCAGTTTCTTTTCTGTAGAGGTTGCAGATTTTCCAGTGCAGCTATTGGTCAACTCTATCTGCTCGGTTTTATATTCAGTGGGTGCCAATACAGTGCAACCTGATACAAGATGTTCAATTGTTTATGGGTAATTATCACAGAACCTGCATTTTGGGCTAACACAATATTTTAGTATATGTGCATGATAATTTCTAGTTAACAAGCACAGATCCTGTGCATCAAGGATAAAACCATCTGTTTTAGCTTTTAACCCTGCACTACGTAGCCACTGATGGGTATTGTCTACGTCAGCTTGTTTGGTACGGGCAGAGTATTGGCCATGTTGCGGTTTATCTTGCCATTGTTTCTGTATCTGGTCGGTTGCATTTGTTTTTGCTTTCTTTTTTATGTATTTTGCAGCTTCAATCGGTGTATTTATGTATTTTACAGCTTTATCATCATCATCATCATCATCATCATCATCATTATTATTATTATTATTATTATTATTATTATTATTATTTCCTTTGATTTCTGGCGTTTACACATTTCTTTCCGGGTCCCGCCCAGGGACCTAAGGTTAGAAATGGCATCATGACACTTTCCACTGCAAAAAAAAAAAAAAAAAATTGCATAGCCAAAGCCCTTCGTAAAGTGCGGGCTGTACTTGTGAGAACAATTTTTTGTATCTCTTGAGGCATGGAGTTCCAGGAATCCCTTCAATTAGTCTACTGGAATCTTTTCCAACCAATCCTAGGGCTCCAATTACAACAGGGATGTTCCCATGTGCCATATTTTTTTAGATTTATTATTATTATTATCATCATCATTCGATTTCTGCTATGGACACACTACCTACCAAGTCTGCGGAAAGACCTAAGGCAGGTCGTGGTGTGTTGTTATGGCCACATTTCATGTTAATTTTTTTTTTTTTTTTTTTTTTTTTTTTTTTATCTCCGATGAAGTTGCTAGCGTTACATAGACAAAGTTCTCCTTAGTGTGTGTGCTGTACTTAATAAGACAATTTTCTGTATGTCTCTTAAGCTGGGGTTTCAGGGATTCTTTCAATGTGTTGTTTTGTTCCATTTTTTTATAATTCCAAGTGCACCTATTACCACTGGTATTATTCTTGTTTTCAATTTCCACATTTTTTCTATTTCAATTTCCAGGTCTTTTGTATTTTGATAGTTTTTCAAATTCCTTGGTTGCTATGTTACAATCCGCTGGACAAGCCATATCAATTAGTAGGCAAGTTTTTTCTTTCTGGTTTTTGACAATAATGTCCGGCCTATTTGCTTCAATTTTTCTGTCTGTGTGGATGGTATAATCCCATAGAATGGTGACATCTTCTATTTCTGTAACCGGCGCTGGCCGATGTTCATACCAGTGTTTGCTTACACATTTTCCAAAGTGTTTGCACATTGTCCAGTGTAAGTATTGCCCCACTCTATCGTGACGATTTTATATTCATTTGGGGCAAGTATAGAACATCCTGAGATTAGATGGTCTATTGTTTCTTGGTATTTGTCACAGAACCTGCATTTTGGATCCACATTATTATGTATGATATTTGCCTGAAAATTCCTAGTGAAAAGACTCTGGTCTTGCGCTGCAAGAATAAAGCCTTCAGTTTCAGACTTTAATCCAGATGCTCGTAACCATCGATGAGTATTAACTTTATCAACATTGGGTTTATTTGCACGTTCTGGATATTGGCCATGCAGAGGTTTGTCTTGCCAGCGTTGTTTCATCTGTTCAAGGGCTTTATCCTTGGCTTTCTTTTTTCATATCTTTTGCTGCAATAGTTGGTTCTTGGCTTCTGTTTTGATTTACTACAGAATCTACTAAATGTAAATGTTGTTTGTATTTACTGCCTTCTTTTATTATTGAATATTTTTTCTTTCTGTTTTCATGTTGTTTCACTAATTTTATCATCCAGTCATTTGTTGTTTCCATGTAAGTTAGTAAGCCAATATCATCATCATCATTATTATTATTATTATTGTTATTATTATTATTATTATTATTATTATTAGGATCACTGTATGGAGTCAGATCTGTCCTTCTCTTCAAATCTCAAATATCGTCCAAATGCAAGCCAGCCTATTCTTTGAATGGGTCGGACTGTTTTGTTTCCAGTATTATGAAAAACGAACGATTAATAGATTTTTATCATTCTTAATTGAAGAGCAGACGTGAAGAAATAATTACAACCGTCTACCGTGGCTAATTAAAGCGGCATGGCAGACGACTTGTAATTAGAGAGGGAAAAAAAAGCTAAATCTGCCCGATGCTTTTATCTGCAAAACGTGAACAGATATATAGTCTTCTTGGAGGCGCGATAGGTGTCCATGGATAAAGCGAAAACCTGATGCCAAGAGACTTGGAGTTATCACAAATGCTTTTCAACTTCTTTTCTTCTTTCTTCTTCTTTCTCCTTCTTTCCTTCACTCCTGCGTTTGTGCATATCCTGCCTTGTGTTGCCCACTTTCTAATCTATTAAGTGGCAGACAGTCAATAATAATATTCAGCCTTTATATATATATATATATATATATATATATATATATATATATATATATATTTGGTTGGATAGATGTGAGTTTGTGACCCTGGGTTTCACGCTTTAGCGATCGTCAGACAAACTGATTAATGTTTTAAAAAATTGGGTTTATGTTTACAGGGTCACAAACTCACATCTATCCAACCAAATATGTTAGCTCTATCTCTGATATTGAGCGCTTTCTAATAAGTACCTATGTATATAATATATAAATAATTATATATATATATATTTATTTATATTTATATACACTTTTCACACACACACACACACATATATATATATATATATATATATATATATATATATATTATAATATTTTTTGTTTAAAAATATGATTAGGGTCCTAAAATTTTGCTTGAAAATGAAACGGGACTAAACACCTTAATTCAACTTAATTTTAATAATTATTTGGATGGTTTCGGCTCTCGTTTTTGAAAAACATAAAGGAAAAAATTAATTATCTTCAATAACATGTGGAAATCTCCACCCTTTACCTGAAGACCGTCGCGAGACCAGAAACACGTGTAGTAAAATTATGGAAAATAAAACAAAATTTGTTTAAAAAATCCACATTACAACCAAAAACGTTTGCAGTACCTCCCTTCTTTTGTGTGTGTGTGTGTGTGTGTGTGCGCACGTGTCTGTGTGCGTGTAAATAATACCAATTTGTGACTGCTAGTGATAATTCCAAGAAGGATATTAATCCAGAGAGAGCTCAATGTAAACTACAGAGAATAATAATAATAATAATAATAATAATAATAATAATAATAATAATAATAAATCAAGAAGAAAACCTTAAAGATCTATTTCGGTTATAATTTATTTCATTAATATTGTTATATTCATCTCTTCAGACCAAAAGTTCTTAAAGGGCGACAATTCATCCGGACTGATATAATAGATTAACAGGTAGAAGGGAAAGCAAGAGAAAAGAGAAGAAAGGAGAGTGGAAGAAATAAAAATAACAGATTTTCGAATATAAAATTCTTTTAAAACATGAAAGCGTGAGAGGGGGAGGGGTGAGGAAGGGAGAGGGAGAGAGAGGAAAAGGAAAGTGAAGAAGAAATAAATAAATGATGGGATAGTAATAAAAACTAAAATAGAATGACCAGGCCAAAAATTTTAGTTTATTTCTTCCTTCTCAACCCTCTCTCTCTCTCTCTCTCTCTCTCTCTTTATGTTTTAAATGTTTTTTTTGTCATTTTTCTTTCTTCCTCTCCCTCTATCTTCTCATCATGTTAATCTAGTATCTTCTCTACTTTCTCCAGCGCCTAAGTGATACTCTGCTTAGGTTCCTCTACGCTTCTAGAAAGATCGGGGGATATAAACATGTCCTTTCACATATCCAAAAATAAAATAAAATCATACGGTGTCAAATCAGGTCAATGCGGTGGGCATTTAAACAGCACACGGTCATTATCATTGCCACGTCCGATCCTTCTTCCTGGTAGATTCTCAATACGATAAGTCTACACAAGACATGCTACAACGTATTTGGCAGGAGCTGGACTGCCAATTTGGCGTGGTATTGTCACAGATGGTGCGCACATTGTACATTTGTGAAGCTTTGTGAAATCGGTTATAAAATCTAAATCGATTTGAATATATTTTTTGAATTTTGATAACTAAATCCTTTATTGTTCAACACAAGGCCTATTTAATTTCGTTTGTCTGGATAATCATGGCTCTCCACCACTTCCTATAGCCATTAAATTGAGTACCAAAAACGGGCAACCTTTATTTCTTCACCCCGTTTTCCAGTGTACACTTCTTTCATGTCTCGTATCCCTTCAATATTTAGGCGATCATGTCTCTCCATAACTTCCTGTCTTTATCACGATTAAAGTTAATAACAAGATAATCTTTACTTATAAATTTAATATTAACAATATACCCCCGTTACTCCTTCGTCGCCTCTTCGTTTGTACACTTCTTTTTCTCTGTGCTGTTTACTTTCAATACGTGTGTGATAATGACTCTCCTCAACTTCCTCTCCTTTGTGATCATTAACCTTAATATTAACAAAACACTTTTTACTTATTAATTTATTAGCCATTGAAACGCTGCTCAACTCAAAAACATTCTAATTTTTTTAAATAATGAATTATCATTCAGTATCTGTCTATATTTCTGAGATGAGGTATTATGTACACTATTTACACTATTCGGAGTATTGTCCTCATCTTGTCGACATATTTATTACAACGTTTCGGCCTTTCAGTATCTGTCTATATTTCTGAGATGAGGTATTATGTACACTATTTACACTATTCGGAGTATTGTCCTCATCTTGTCGCCATATTTATTACAACGTTTCGGCCTTTCAGTATCTGTCTATATTTCTGAGATGTGGTATTATGTACACTATTTACACTATTCGGACTATTGTCCTCATCTTTGTCGCAGTATTTATTACTACGTTACGGCAGTTGTACGCCCCGGCGTTCTTCAGGTGGTTGGAATGTCGAACTAAACCCTTTATTTCTCTCACTGGGATAGACTGCTCTAGTTCCACGTGACATCCATTAAACATGACACGTGGAACTAAAACAGTCTACCCCAGTGAGCGAAATAAAGGGTTCAGTTGGACATTCCAATCACCTGAAGAAGGCCGGAGCGTACAATGTCCGAAGCGTTATGATAAACATGGCGACAAAGATGATGACGTTTCATTTAATTATCTCTTATAGAATTGTCATTCTCAAATAATAATAATAACAACAACAACAACATCGCAGCGTCAGGTATAGACCTTATCAGTTCGTTATGTGCCATACGTCATATATGCTTTGGCGAGCGTGTGTCTTTTGAGATAGATTTTTTCCTGCAGTAGGCTGTCATTTCTTTCAGACCATTTGTCATCCAAGGCTAGAGAACCCGGTTTCTCTTGCTATTTAACCATACCCGGTGGTGGGGTGGAAAAGAAGAGGATTCATATCTTTCCCAATGGTATTAGCTCCAATTTTTCTATCCGAGCCACTATCCATTATCCCACCGTGACTTTATACGTGTACTTATAATATTAAAATAAGTTTTGGGGTAATGCTCTATAAAAATTTCTTTTGATTCAACGTATATATATATATATATATATATATATATATATATATATATATATATATATATATATATATATATATAGACCTGAGGAGGATGATATCCAGAGAGCTCAATATAAAATTCAGAGCATATATGTTTGAATAAAAGACAGACCACGTTAAGATTCCATGTAATAAGCTATTTCACCATAACCCCTTTAACAGGGTTCTGGATCATCAGACTTTACTTCCAAAAGCTGAAATGAAGAATGAAAAGAAATTCACACGTTTTTGACGGACCTCATCAAGTATACGTAAAATTAACGAAGTGAGGAAGTGAGGTGGGAGAGAGGATATGAGTGTGTCATATGTATCATTTCAATTTCCTATTTTTAACCCGAGTGTGTCGGCTGGATGTTGCTCAAATTTAACGTGTCTCGTCTCTAGATATAGATGGCTAAGGGGTTAGGGAGAATACCGACATTAGAGGAAGAAGCTACAACAATCCCAATCAATTACATTCCACGACAGGATTCATTCAAATTCTTAGACGCTGTTAATTCGCGTTACTTTATCGGGCATATTTGGGAGGTTAAGGTTTGATAAATATCTAAATGTCTAAACAATCTACGAAGAAATTAATTTGAAATTCGGTGGAGTTTAGGGTATTTTCTATGAAACAGTCGATTGGAAAAATTCATAGACAGTACATTGAAAGAGTAATCCATTTTATATTTAGTAATCTTTTTTATTCTACTAAAACTTTTATCTTATTGCTTGTTAGGTTGACATCTATTCGTTTGATTTTTGTTCATTAAGTAAACTCGTGATTGTTTTTGATTTTTGTTCATTAAGTAAACTCGTGATTGTTTTTATGTACCCAATTATCAACGGTTATTCCCATTTAAATAATTTTATCATCAATAATATTCATATATATATATATATATATATATATATATATATATATATATATATATATATATATATGTCCTTTATTGATTATGTGTCTTTTATCCGAAAACCTCCAAAATCCAGATACGTTTTTTTTTTTTTTTTTTTTTTTTTGGTAGCGATCGTCAAAGCAACACTTTCATTCGTCAATTACTTAACAGGTGTTTCGTACTCAGTAAAGATATTCTTCAAAATGTCAAATAGTCCTTAGCGATTTTTTTCTTGGTCACACGTCTTGCAAAAAGAAAACTCTATTTGCCGAGGCGGAGAACATCGTATGTTTTGTAGACATGCTGTAGTGTTTGAAATTTGTGATTTTGTTCTTTCATAGGGTCTAATCGCAAATTTTCTAGCTGTGTAAATTTTTTTTTTTTTTTGTTCGTGTCCGCCGAGCGTGGTCGAGTAGGAAGAGAAGATTGTCGTTCTTTTCTTCACTGGATATTGGTTTGAAAAAAAAACTATGTAAAAGTATATTTGAGTCAGAACATTTACATAGAGACTTGTGTGTTTCTTGTTTTCAAGAGAAAATAATATTACGTCGGGGTCACCAACTTGTTGCTGGCATTAATAACGACGGTGTTTCAGTTGTGAAATAACACGTGCCTTCTGAGATACCCACAACAAAAAAAGGCGGACTCGGTATGCGAGTCCACGTGAATAAATGTAAAGAAACAACAAGAATTAATACATGTACAAACAAATGATAATGTATTAACAAGAAAGATATATAAATGGCAAAAAAAAGATGTGTGCAACATAAGAATGTGAAAACCTTTTTGGTTCAAAGTATGTGAAATAAGTGAATGCGCGTACGTAGATGTTTTGTCTGTGAGTGGTTTGTTCATACGTTTACCAACAGAAAACGCTTTTTTCCACGAGAACTTACATGTTGACATGTAAGCGGATAAAATAAGAAGAGGCTACAAAGAATTATCGCATAGTACGGAGAGCGTCCCCTAGTAGCGGTTTCAGGAAAGTTAGTAAGTGGAGTTAACACCACAGATGTATGCTAAAGTGGAAAATGTTTTTGTGTGACGCGTTTCGCCTTTGACGACTCCATCGCACTAACTTTGTTTACATTGACACGACTAGACAAGGGTACGAACTAGAGAGGCTGGGAATTTTAATTGAAAGACGATCTTTTTAAATGTGTCTTGGGGATGAAATCTAGCCCTTTTCAGTTTGATACTTTTGTTGTTCATACGTAATATTACTGAGTGTTGTCTCTTTTCTTATTATTAATGTTTCCATTATCTTTATTCATTTCTCTGCAAATATTCTGTAGACGGAGTTTGGTACATTTCTGAGTGCTTTTAAACAGATCCTAATTGAACTATGCCCTGAGATATGTAAACGGAGTCTTCATGATAAGCATGTACTGCTATGCCCAATATAATTATTCCTGAATATATATATATATATATATATATATATATATATATATATATATATATATATTTTTTTTTTTTAGTGTGTGTGTATGTTTTGTGTGTGTGTGTGTGTGTATCTAATTATGCCTGGATGCTTATGTATTATAATCTGATTGTGTTTTTTTGTTGTGTCATGTGAGTTCAAGACCATATTCACAAACTTTAAAAATAAAAACGGAAAAGAAAGGGAAAAGAAAAAATATATATACATGTATTATCAAATGACCGGATGTATTATAGCGTCTTGTCTTGTCGAACGTAATTTCAATGAAGAAATGAATTGAATAAACATATATATTTTTTTCTTTTCTCAATAATTTTGTAGTTTTTAAACTTAATAGTGATTAAATTTGGATTTAAAAATTGCCAGTTTTTAATTTTAATATTAAATTTTATCATGTAAATTTATAATTATTAGTTAGTATAAATTAATTTTAATATTACACGTATTTAAAGATCTGAATAGCTATTAGAGCAGGATTTCGTTGTCAAGCTTTTGAATCTTTCTATACTTCGTTTTTTGATTGGTTATTCTAGCTTTTGTAACAATGTTTCCCCCTAGTGTAGGATCGTTAATTAATCTGAAACTTTTAAAACCATTTATTTTATTTTCAATATCATCACTTGATAAGACACAGAGTGTGTTGAAACAAAATGGCTATTTTTGTAGTGATTTTATAACATACTTATGTTATAATTTTTTTATAAAAATAATTATAGATAGATAGATAGATAGATAGATAATATTACTGGTAAATATGCACATACATATGCAAAATATATACATATATATACAAACATGCATACACATATATATATATATATTTTAATTCCAAGAGGATGGAATCCAGGTAGAACTCAATGTCGAGAACAGAGTAAGGATATAATAAAAAGGCATAAACACTAATATTCCATGGTCATAATTTATTCCATTGGAATCGTAAATACGATCCAATTCATCAGACCTACAAATTCAAAAAGAAGATGAATTGGATCGTATTTACGAGTCCAATGGAATAAATTATGACCATGGAACATTAGTGTTTAAGCCTTTTTATTATATATATATATATATATATATGTGTGTGTGTGTGTGTGTGTGTGTGTGTGTGTGTGTGTACTTTTACGTTTTGTTTAGTTCATTTATCTATTTATTTTATTATTTTGATTTAATCTTCTGTTTTGAATTTTGTTAAAATTTTTCCTGTTTTTCAATTTTTTAATTCTTAAAGAGTTTTTTTTTTATTTACATATCATTAAATAATTATTGCTAAATAATGCTCTCTCTTCAACGAAAATGTCAACCCTTCGTGTGTCGTTACGTCGTATCAAGATTCTTTTTCTTACTGACCACATGTATTCGTTGAATTTTGAATCTATGGCTTTTGACATCTTACTTAACATTTGATTGGTTGAACCGATTATCAACATATCCTGTCTAGCTTCTTTACATTTCTATACTATCCTTATATTTATCCTTCTCTTCTCTTGTTTTTCCTTGGAGAAAATACTGTGTCTTTCTTTCCTTGTCGCTCTTATTTTCTTTATTCTGTTTTTTTTTTTATAGATGAGATACTATCTTATGTCTTTCTATCTTGCTGGCTTTTCTTATTTTCTTTTTTTCTCTTCTAGCGGGATAAAAGATTGTTTGTAAGTAAATATTGCAAACTCTAATAACCCTCATTCACCACCGCCCGATGAGATGCAATTATATGCATCGAAACAAGAATGCATTTATGTAGCGGTTTAACATATGTTCGAATATAATATCCTATAATAAAGTATATATATATATATATATATATATATATATATATATATATCAGGTCATCCCCTAAGTTCTGTCAGAATTTGGAATAAAGAAAACAAGTGACCAAATGTTAATTAATTACAGATTCAATCAACAATGTATTTTCCCTGATTACCTATGACTTCCTTCCATCTATTAACAAGCTTACTAATTCCATTACTGTAAAATTCTTTTGGCTTTGATTCGAAGAACTCACAAATGTCAGTTTTAACCACTTCCTGTGTTACAAAAACTGTTTCTTCCAAATGATTCTGTAAGCTACGAAACAAATGGTAGTCTGAAGGAGCAAGATCGGGAGAATAAGGTGGATGAGGAATTTTCTCCCAACCAAGTTCTTCGATCTTTTGTGACGTGATTCTTGCTGTGTGGGGTCGCGCATTGTTCTGATGAAACATCACCTCTTTTCGATTCACAAGAGCAGGTCTTTTTTTCCTCATAGCTTGGTTCAAACGCTCTAATTGCTGACAGTATATTTGAGCATTAATTGTTGCATTAGGTAGTAAGAATTCAAAGTGGATTATTCCTTGGCGATCCCACCAGATTGAAAGAAGAAACTTTTGCCCATGAAGTTCCCTTCTCGGCTATGGCTTGGGTCCTTCCCCTTTACCAAGCCACTTTCTACGACGCTTAACATTTCGATAAAAGATCCATTTTTCGTCGCAAGTCACAAGTCTATCCAAAAAAGGTAAAACAAGTTGGCGAGAATGGAGAGAAAAGCAGATGTCAACTCGGGATTTGAGGTTGTTTTCAGACAATTCATGAGGCACCCAATTTCCAAGTTTAGGAACTTTTCCAAGTTGTTGAAGATGACGATGAACAGTTGTATGGTTTGAACTGAGAACCACTGCCAATTCTTCAACTGATAAAGCAGGATTTTCTTCAAGGGCTGCTTCGAGAAGCTTTTCATCAAACTCAACTGGATGTCCGATTCGATCGTCATCTTCAAGGGTGAAATCTCCACCTCTGAATTTTGTAAACCATCTTCTGCAAGTTCTTTCATTCACACATTCCTCTCCATAAACTGAGTGAAGGTTTCTAGCCGCTTCGGCTGCTGAGTTTCCTTTCTTGAACTCATAAAGCATTATGTGCCTCAAATGATTCTTGGGTACTTCTATGTTAGCAGGGTTTTAACCAAACAAAATTTAATTTAATTTTTCTCTGAAATAAAATTTGATCAGTTTAAATGCATCTAAACATAAAAAATAATGTTCAGCTCCATTAGACATTATAAAATACTCTTTAAATTTCGTTCAGTTTAACAAAAAGTTAAAATTCGGACAAGACTTATGGGATGACAACTGTATTGAGCTCTATTTTTAAATCGAAGTCAAATTACTGTTTCAAACTACAAATTTCCCATGATACTCAGCGAGATGGAGTTAAAGCAACTCTTAGCATTGAACTTACGGTAACATCTAGTTATTCCAACAACCAAATGACGAGAACTTGCGACCAATCTAGTAGTGTGCTTAAATTCATTGTCTATGTACCATAAAAGAAAGTTGTACGAAAGTATTTATAAAAATGACAGAGAGGCTGCGTTATATATTAAAGACATTTTTATGTTTAATGTTCTTTTTATAGATACAAGTATTTAAGTAAATGCTCTGTTTATAATAAACAGTATTAAAGAACATTCTCCGGCCTGAATGTCCGAGAAATTTTTTTAGAAAATATTCATCCTTTGACAGGATTCGAACCTGGATCCTATATGAAACCGTCATTTACGCTAAGGTGCCTAACCTCTCGGCCACAAAGGATCGCTCGGTTGGCAAGGTCGAATTTACTGTTTATAAACTTCAATCTTCCATGAATCTCGTACATTCATAACTGCTCCTGGTGTATCAAATGTAAACAAATGACGTCATATATTAAGAAATGGACAAAGTCCGACAATTTATTTATTAAAGACATTTTTATGTTTAACGTTCTTTTTATAGATACAAGTATCAGGTGGTAGATTTGATGCAATATAAACAAAGAATATTGCTGTACTAATGTATTGAGCCCTATTTTTAAATTAATGTTGTGAACGTGTTAATTTATATTCGATTCGTTCTCATTTAATTTACACACACACACACACACACACACACACACACACACACACACACACATATATATATATATATATATATATATATATATATATATATATATATAGTTATGATGATGTGAGTTTGGGACCCTGGGTTTCACGCTATTGTCTGACGATCGCAAATAGCCTGAAACCCAGGGGTCACAAACTCACATCAATCCAACTAAATATGTTAGCTCTATCACTGATATTGAGCACTTTCCAATAAGTACCACGCATATATAATATATAAATAATAAATATAAAATATTATATATATATATATATATATATATATATATATATATATATATATATATATAAATAAATATATATATATATATATATATATATATATATATATATATATATATATATATATATATATATATATATATATATATATATATATATATATATATATATATATATATATATATATATATATATTTATATACATACACATTGTACATATATATATATATATATATATATATATATATATATATATAGATAGATGGTGGTTCACACCTGATGTCTGCAATTACCTTTCTGAATGCTTTAACATTGTAATCATCATTTAAAAGTAAACATGTTCATTATAAGTTTTATTCTTTACTAAAAACTTTTTAATTAGTGTCGCTCAAGTATAGGCGTATAGAATAGACGACACTCTTTTGGGTGCGCATGCGCATGTGTGTCTGTCTATTGTGAATTCTGATCGTGTCAATGCTATGTGATTAAATCTCTTGCAATGTACCAAATTCCTTCTTACATTGACTCAAGTAGGTGTGAACCATGTCCAGATTTTTAGGCAATATTTTGGCTGGTGCCTGCTAGTCTGCAAATGTCCGACTTTCCTGAATGCCTGGAGATTTTTCGGTAAGAGCGAACAAGAGGGGGAATTATATGCAAAATTATTAGAAAAGTCATTATTTCTGTTGATTTTTTGTTCTTTTTTTCTTCTTCTTCTTCTTCTTCTTCTTCTTCTTCTTCTTCTTCTTCTTCTTCAATACATATTTCTTCCAGTTCTTCAACAATATTTTCTCTATATTTTCTTCGGGTGCAAGGATTATGTCATCATCATCATCATCATCATCATTACATACTTTTTACACTTCTTCTTTAAAACTAACACTAAATTATTTTTTCTCGTTCATCAATACCTTCTTCCTCCCTCCTTCTTCATCATCATCATCACCCTCATCAATGATCTTTCCGCTACTACTCCATCGCCATTATCATCATCAGCACACTTCTTCGACTCTCTCTCTCTCTCTCAAGTTATGAAGTAAGTCTTTACATTTGATACGCCATGAGCAGATATGAATGTACGTGAGATTCATAGAAGATTGAAGTTTAAATACAGTAAATTTGACCTTGCTAACCGAACGCTCCTTCGTGGCCAAATCGGTAAAGGCACGTCAAGCTAAATGATAGTTCTGTATAGGATAGAGGTTCGAATCCTGTTCAGGCCGGTAAATGTTGTTTAATACTGTTAATTATAAACAGAGCATTTACTTAAATATTTGTATCTATAAAAAGAATGTATAAACATAAAAATGTCTTTAAAATAATTGTCGGACTTTGTCCATTTCATAATATATATATATATATATATATATATATATATATACACACTTAGGAAAAATATAAATCCGCCTCTTCTCTTCATGGTTTAATTAGTAAGACTTGTGTAAATAAACTGGTATTTTCTGTCTTTAAATAACCTGCTAAGGGTTAATAAGCCGTGAAAAATGAATGAATCAATCAAGTATTATTCGTTTGCTATCACACAAGATTTTAGTTAAGCAAAGCAGTTGCTTATCTTTATTTTACAATTAGTATAAACTGAGGTAGGTATCGTCTGGACTAGGTTATTTTATACCCTGAGGTATTAAGTAGGCTATTTCCCAAATCTTCGCTTTTTAGCCTCGATAAAGTCCAAAAGCATCTGAATGTCCTCGTGAGTGACGAATCCTTTTCTTTTTGTGACAAATATGGCGACAAAGATGAGGACAATAGTCCGACTAATGTAAATACTGAATCCTTTTCTACTATACAATTCCTTTCTCACAGACAAAATGTATCAAACCTCTCTTGATAATTCTATGGAAAGTGTTCAGACAGGATACACACCTTAGTACCACCTATTCTAACCTCCACGGTTCCTATGCCACGTACATTGTAGCAAACCACCTTAATTTCATTTGAATTCCATTGGTGAGATATAAGTTCTACTGGAGTAACTGTGGCCAGACATTTGGCCGACAGACATTTGGCCGACGGACATTTGGCCGACGGACATTTTAACGAAAAAGTACAAGTAAAAATAGTACCAAGCAATACTTTAAGTATTTTAATTAGTAGTATTATAAGGTAGAATAGGACTAATAAATACCAATGGATTTCAAGTGATTAAATTACTAAATCTATATTTAAAGTTAAGAATTTTCTTATTTCAATATTGGATTATTCAAATTAGTATTTTTTTTTTAAATTGAGTTTATTTGGGTAAAAGGTAGCACCTAATTATTTCAATTCGTATTTAACAGTAAGATAAAAGCTAGATCATTCCTTTAAGATGATGATCATTAAAAGTGAAATTGAAAGATTTTCCATATCGTAAAAGCTTAAGATTTTTGCTGTAGTAAAATGTGCTTTTTTTCTCAAAATACTTATTATCTTACAGTAATATTTGAAGTAAAATATAATATATACAGAATAGATATTTAAAAAAGCCTATCAAAAAAAACAAACAAAAAAAACCGAAAAAATTATAAATTAATCCAGTAAATAAATATAAATATATGTAGCACATTACAATAAAGAGTGTGACATACATGTAAGTAGGCCACTACATTTTCGGCTAAACGACCATTCGGCCAAATATCCGTCGACCAAATATGTCCGTCGGCCAAATATCCATCGATATGTGTCTGCGTGGATATCCGAGTGCCCGAGTAGCTTCTTGCTATGGACCACTACTTTTTACAATCGACTTCCATGATGTTGCTAACCTGATCACTACAATCTTAACGTGTTCAGTTCTAACGTAAACCGTTTTCTTCCCCACATATCCGTATCAACTGTGAAACTTGTTCTGTAAACCTCTCCCATGAGGGGCCCTATATATATATATATATAGGTTTTTTTAGGTGACTGATATATATATATATATATATATATATATATATATATATATATATATATATATATATATATATATATATATATAATGATTTAATATTATATAATAACTTAGGTGACTGAGATATATATATAGGTTTGACACTTAGGTGACTAATATATATATATAGGTTTGACACTAAGGTGACTGATGTTACCTTCAGCATTTCAACTCCAGAGTTTTGTAGACGGGCCAGTCCGACCACTCATCAGTGGATATCAGCAATTAACTGCTTATACATCTCAATTTTTCTTTTTTATATGCACTTCTCATTTTTTTTTTCTTAATGTGTGTGTCTATGCATAGCCATGTGTCTGCGTGGATGTGCGTATGTGTAGAATGTCGTGATTATTTGCCCTTTTCGTCCTTTTTTTTCACTTTACACTCACTCCTTAATCTTTACTTGTTTTTTTTTTATCTTTTCCCTTTTTTCTTTCACTGGTTGTAAATTGGATTCCGTTTTTTTTCTGGACAACGGTGTATAATCCAAGTGGAACCTCGCAATATAAAAATATTAAAATTGATCTGCAAAAAGAGAGCTGGATTATTTTATTTGTACAGAAGAATATGATGAATAATCAGTAAAAATTTCTTTTTACTTCATGTAGACAATACAAGAGGTCGTCTGTCGTTTCAACAACGATATGGAATGGGGTTGAAAAGACAGACGACCACTTGTATCGCCTGTTGAAATAGTCCAGTCACCACTTGAGGTAAAAAGAATTTTTTTCGGATTATTCATATATATATATATATATATATATATATATATAGAGAGAGAGAGAGAGAGAGAGAGGAGAGAGAACAGTTTAGGCGATAAGATGGATGCAAAATAGATAGTTTTTCGTGTGACGCGTTTCGTCCAATCAATCCCCTTTAGGGACGAAACGCGACACACACACATTCACACACACATACACACACACACACACGCACACACACACATATATATATATATATATATATATATATATATATATATATATATATATATATATATATATATATATAATATTAGTGGTCAGTATATATTTTCAAGAGGATAGAATCCAGTTAGAACTCAATGTCCAGGACAGATCAAGAATATAATATAAAAGACTCAAATATTCCATGATTATAATTTATTACATTGGAATCGTAATCACGATCCAATTCATCAGACCTACATATTCAAAAAGAAAACAGAAGGTATAACCTGGTATATATATATATATATATATATATATATATATATATATATATATATATATATATATATATATATATATTTTCATATTTTCAAAACATGCTTGGTTATTATGTATTGTGTCTGTTTATTTTAGTTTTAATCCTTTAAAGTCCACGAATTAATTTCTTGTTTCCTAATTAATTGATTAAGAAAAATTCCAAAATTTTTTTTTCGAGTCATTTTATATTTCCCCAAGTAGTATCTTTCGCATCTGGGACCATCTTCAGGCGTTCTATATTTATGGATGTGTTATGCGTTAACACTAAATTCAAAATAAAATTTAAAAAAAAAACAACTAACATAAGCAGGTGCACTCTCAACTATAAAAGTGAATGTCCTATTACAAAATAGCCATTATACGAGTTTAATAAACTCTTCAATACGAAAGATTTTCTATACTGAATTAAAAAAAATTAAACAAACCCACATTAATAATGACTTTCCTAATTACATTGTTTATGAACAAATTAGACGAGCTATTAGGAATATTAACATAAATAAAATGAAAATAATACTTCCTCAAATAATTCTAAACATATCAAACATTTATAGCAAAACCAAATTCGTTCTAAATATAAGCAGGACTTAAAAAATTCTAAAAACACTAATGAATACTAATATATCCTCCACTGTTCCAAGTAAAAAATAAAATGAATTATATACTGTCAGTCATAAATTAATCAACGTATAATCGTAGGGCAGCCTTATATTGATTTATAAAGTTAGACAGATGTTAAGGTTATTGAAATGTTGTGATAAAAATAGCCAACATGAAGAAATTAGGCCTAATGACTAATAATGCATAATAGTAAAAAATGCAATATGGGAACCAGTAATAAGGAGTGCCAGAGAAAAGCAATGATAACAACAAAGTTGCAATATGAGCTCTGGTAAAAGCATGGAATGATAACAGCAAAAATTGCAATATGAGCACTGGTAAAAATGGTTGCTGATGACATTAATTTTATAATACCCAGAAATTCATATGCAAGGACACATGACACAGTGGATAAAGGCGTTGGTTAGATCCAGTGACAGGACCCAAAGAGTGTGAGTTCAATACCCGGTTAAGGCAGTGGAGAACTTTCAGAGGGAAATTAACAGGAGATAACTGATAACTGACATCCATCAAACATGGCACGTGGAACTAGAACAGTCTATCCCGGTGAGCGAAATAAAGGGTTCAGTTCGACATTCCAACTGAAGAAACGTTGTGATAAATATGGCGACAAAGATGAGGACAATAGTCCGAATAATGTAAAAAAAATGCCTCATCTCAGAAATTGATGCAGAAAAAAAGTCAGTCAGTTATGTGGCATGCTTGATAAAAGCTTAGGCGATCATGTATCTCTCGATACATGACTGACGAGACAGATTTATTTTTCGTGCAGTAGGTTGCCATTTCTTTCTGCGGTAGACCAATTGCCACCCAATGCTATAGAACCCGGTCTGCCCTACTATTTACCCATAGCTGGGGAGAGAAGAAGAGGATTCATACCTTTCTTAAGGGTATTAGCACATCAGTCAGTCAGTTATGTGCAATGCGTGATACACGCTAAGGCGGTCATGTATCTTTCGATACATGATTGACGAGGCAGATATTTTCCCGAAATAGGTTGTCATTTCCTTCTGCAGTAGACCAGTTCCATCCAAGGCTATAGAATCTGTCCTATTAACCCATAGCTGGGGGAGAAGAAGAAGAAGGTTCATACCTTTCTCGAGGGTATTAGCACATAAGTGAATGAAATGAACTCGACTGGAATTCGAAATCGAATCTCCGATTCCTTAATCCGAGCCGCTATCCATTACTCCACCGTGCCTCTTTTTTAGTCATTCATAACAACTAGTTTTTTAAAAAAAAAAAAGAACATCA